GCGCCCACTGCACCAGCGCCCGGTCCCTGCCGCGCCAGGAGCACCACCACATCTCCAGACCGCGCTGTTGCTCCCGCTCCCGCCCCACGGTGTGCGGTGCTCCGTCCTGGCCCCCTGGCCTGCAGCGGCTGGCCAGGGCACCGGGCGCCCAGCCTTTGTTCCGCCGCCTGCGACCTGCCCCTCCTGCCCACCGAGGGAGGAGGCGTCCGCAGCGATGCCCCTCGGCTTTGGGTCCCAGTGCTGGTGGAGACTCTGCCGGGCAGTGGCAGAGGGCTCCTTGGTGACGCTGTCATTTGCCTGAAATGGTGGGGGGGGGGGCCTTTGGGTGGTCGGGGGTAGGGAGGCAGGTCGGGTCGGTGGTAGGAGGGGTTATGCGTGCTGTTGATGTGTTAATAAGGGAGGGTAGGAGATGGTGGTTGAAATGTCCTCTGCAAGGGGGGTCCGAGGCCACCCTTCTGGATGATCAAGTGTGACCCTCTGACAGGGACCAGTCAGGGGCAAACGCTCCTGGACAGAGGGCTAAGGGAGGAAGGTCTGGAGCTCCCGTGTGGACGGTGCCCAGGGAACCTGCCTCTGCTTGCTCAGTGCCTCCCACCCCCAGCAGACTGGTGGACAACGCCAGGGGGATCCTGTGGCCACTGGAGCTGGATGGGGTCCAGGAGCGGGAGTGGGCAGGGGGCAGTCGTCCAGAGAAGAATATTGCTTGGGGGAAAGCCTTCTATGCCTGCCCACCCCCAGCCTGCCAGCAAGGCCCGAGGGAGGGTCCAGAACTGAGTAAAGGGGAGCGGTGGGGAAGCAGCCCCCTTCCTGCTCCTCCGGACCCGGGCCTCCCACTCGGCGTGGTTTGGTGCCTGGAGCTGTCCACACAACTGTGTTTCAGCCCCGTGCAGGCGGTCTGCAGTGAATTAGAGTGTCCTAAGGGTGGCTGGGTCAGTCGGTGCAGAGCCTCTGGGATGTGGCTTTAAAGACAGGTTGAGCAGACAGTCTGCATCCTCTTGTGTGAGCAGTAGAAGCTTCTGGAGAGATGGGCTTGGCATGGCGCCATCTATCCTCTGCAGTCTCCTTGGGAGGGCTCTAGCGCCACCAGTCACAGGTGGCTGCCAGGCTGGGCCTGGACACATGAGGTCTGTGTCCAGCATTGGAAATGGTGACCACTGTTGGGGTGGGTGTCTTGGGCTAAAGCATTGGGGTGACAGTGCCGGCGAGGTTGGCTGCTGGGTAGGGACGCTCTTGGGAGGCTGCCAAGACAGGACAGCTGAGAGCAGCGGCTCAGCAGGTGGCAGGAGTGTGTGAGCCTTAAAGATGTTTGAGCCACAGACTGATAGGGACTTAGTGAAGAGGAGCCGGGGATCTGGGGTGACCCCAGGAGGTCTGAATCTGGAGGGCAGAAGATGGGCATGCAGTCTGCCGCCCAGGAAGAGAAGCAGTTGCTTGCTGGTGGGGTTAGGGAAGTGGGTACAGGGACTTTAACCTGAGGAGCAGGATCAGAGGGTATCTGGGAATTTGGGGGCGGGGCCTGGAGGAGCCGTGCCACAGGGACTGGGGTGAGGAATGAACTGTTCTCCCCTTTCTCTCCCCAAAAAGCCTATGATCACCCGTGGGAGGAAGTGTCCCCATAGGCTAAGGGAAGGGAGAGTTCTGGATGTGGCCAGCTTTTGCAAAAACAGCAAAGTAACCAAGGGAGAAAGGAGGGATGGTCGCCGGCCAGCTGGGGGAGGGGTCAGTGGGAAGAGGGGACCCGCCGATGCCTCCCAGGGCGGGGAGGGGGAGCAGTCCCCCCACCCCCAGGCAAGTCTCCGTTCCTCTGCGGGTATTGAGCTGAGAGGAGAGGTGGGCCTTTGGGGGTCTGGAATGACAATGTACAGAAATCCTTCAGTCTGATTTGCACACTGCCAGGGGCAGGGAGCTCACTTTCACTCCTGGCAGCCCCCCAGCCAGGCACGAGTTGGCTCTGACCAGACCAGGAGGCGCAGGCTTGCATTGCAGGGGGTGCAGGGGGTGCCCTGCCCAACCCCCTCCAGCTGGCTGATGTGCAGACGCAGGCCGAGCTGGGCCAGGGTGGGCAGGAAGGAAGCACGAAGCTGCTGCGTCCTGACTTTCGCTCTCGCGCCCGCAGCGCACCGCATCTGCCCTGCAGCCGGCTTGGGGGCCGCCTCAGCCCAGCCCGCCCGGGGCCTCAGGCCGGCGCCCAGGCTCTGGCTCCGTGTCTTCACTCCCGTGTGTCCGAGGAGGGAGGGAGGGACGGGGGCTGTGCTGGGGCGGCCGGAACAGCGCAGGCCACCGGGCGGCTGGACGAGGTGGCCAGGCAGGGCTGGCGAGGCTCCAGGGAGGCCGCTGGGGTGGGAGTGGTGGCCATGCTGACAGTGCCCAGAGGCCCACTCAGAGCCTGCCCACGGCGGGGGGGGGGGCTCCCTGTGTCTCCCCGAGTTTCTCCCCCGCCACCCGGGCTCTCTGCTGTCCGCATGAACTGGCAGGTTCGGGGAGGGGTCTGTTGCTCCAAGGAACCGGAGGGTTCAGGAGGGAGGGCAGCCAGTCACCGGCGCTGTCCATCCCTGTGGCCTACAAGAGCTCTCGCTTTGGCAGCCCATGCCCACCTGAAGACCCGTGTGTGCCCACCTGCTGCCCACCCAGCCAGCCTGGCCCAAGTGCCCAGCACAGCAGAGCCCCGGGTGTCCCCCAGAAGCCCCAGGCTGGCACCTGCCCCCTGTCCCAGGGCACGTCCCCAGTTCATGTCCCCACCCCCTGGCACCATGGGGAGCCTGGCATGCAGAGGATGCTCTCCCGGCCCCTGTTGAGGCAGGGAGCTCAGCTTTCTCCCAGTTGGGTGCACAGGGACCCCATGGAGAGGACCCTCAGCCTGCCCGGTGTCCTGCCTCCTGCTGGCAAGGGTCCTGGGCCACACGTCAGAGTCAGTAAAGGCCCTGAGAGAGAGGGATGGGAGGTGTTCTTGGGCCCAGTCCCTGCCTGGAGACACCTGCCCACCCCACCCCTCACGAGAAGGGGCACAGGAATGTTGGCAGGTGCCTCCTCTCTATCAGGCCCTGGGGAGCCAGGCTCCGACCCTTGACCCCAGCTGGCTCCCACAAGGCCCTGAAAGTCCTGATTCACCCAGGGGGTCAGGTCTCAGATCCCCAACTGTCACAGCCCCACAGAGCTGATGCCCTCCCAGAGATGGGCCCAGGTGGTCTTGAGCGCCAATCTGTCTACCCCGAGATTGGCCCTTTCCCAAGGTGGGGGCCACAGCCCCCCTCAGACGGACATGCTAGCGTCACTTCCAGGCCCTGGCGGAAGGGGTGGTGGTCCCCCAGACAAGCAGCCCTGCAGGGCGCAGGTGTCTGAGAGCTGAGGGCGCCTGGGGCCTGGGGAGTGGGACTGCTCAGGGCCCACGTGGGAAGGGGAAGAAGGAGGGGCTGGCTTTCCCCCCCACCAGCGCCCCCCCAAACCTCCCCTCACCCACCGTGTCTGAGTGGGCTCCTCCAGGCACTTCTGACAGCCTTCTTCCAGTCCCACCCCAGCGTGCGGTGGCCCGTGGGCCGCGCAGCAGTTCGCTGTCACGCGGACGGCACAGCGCCCACAGACAGCTTCTCTGTTCTGTCCGCTTCTCACTTGGCCCGGGGTTGTGCGCGTCAGCGCGGGAGATAAAGATGCTCCAGCCCGGTCTGACCTGGTGGTGCCGACAGGCTCTTTAGGGCTAATTCAGCCTCAGGATAATTATGCCTTTGTCGCCACCCCACCCCCCCCACCGCCGCAAGCTTCTACTGGAGGCTGCCTGTGTCCTCCAGGCCTTCTGCTGGGGCTTCTGACCCTCCCAGCCCTCAGAACAGCCTCGGGAACCCCGGAGCTCTGCCCAGGCTGCTCCACCCTACTCCGCAACAGTGCACAGGTGACCCTTCCCCACAGCCCCTGTCCGGGTTAGACCCCTGCCTCCCCCAGGGCCCAGCCTCCTCCACAGCTTAGAGGCAGGAAATACAGCCGGTGGGTGGGGTGGGGTGCGGAGGGCCATGAGGTGGCGCACTGGGTGTGGGGGGCCTGCAAGCAGGCAGCCTGACTGAGCTGCTTGGCTCCTCACGGCGTAGCGTGGACTGGACAGGAAACCGAGTCTCTGCAATCCTCAGTTTCCTGGTCTGCAAAATGGGGTCACAGCACCCGCCTCAGAACCACAGTTGTAACACTGGCACAGGCCCATTTTTAAAGGCGCCTGCTCTCTGGCCCGCACCCCTCCCTGCATGGCTCAGTGGTGTGTCTGCAGGGCTGTGTTGACTGAGCACCTGTCCCTGGCCCCGGGACGGAAGCATGGGTGGTGCGTTGCTGGGGAACATGAGGGGTGAGGAGGGCTTTCAAGCGCAGAGGAAGGGGCGCACCCCTGACGGGGGCACAGGTGTATCCAGGCCCCCCGCATGCAGGACCACTCCTCACCAGGCACCCCCTGGTCAGTAGCCCCACCCAGGCCTGCGGTCCTCATAGGAGCTTGCACCTCTGGCCTGGTGTGGGTGGGGGGGAGGCTCTGATTATCCTGCCCTGCCCTCTGGGGGTGGGGGATCCCTTCCTCCCTCCCCATCCTCAGCCTGGGCCCAGGCAGGGGGCACCCTGCAGGCCTGGAAGCTTGCCCCAGTGAGCCGGGGGTCTGGCAGCCCGCCCCTCTGCACAGACAGAGGGCCCGAGGCAGTTCTGTGCTGGGCAGTTCTGAGCTGTGCCAGGACCCCTGGGGTGGCTCTCCTCACCTGCATGGTGGCAGCAGGGGGCGCTGAGGGGCCAGGAGGAGCTAGGTGGGGATGACACTGGACATCCCTGCCCTGGGGCTCAGCCTTCTGCACCCCTGCTTGATGCCCACCCACCCGGTTTGCCCCTGCAGAGGCAGCCCCACTCCTGTGTCCTGCACTGGGGACTGCACGACCTACCCAGGCCCCCGCTGGCGCTGTGCCCCCTCCCAGGACCTGCCCAGGGCCCCCCTCCCAGCCTCCAGGGCGCCTCCTCTCTCTCACAGCAGCCCCTCCCCACAGGAGAGCACCTGCGGATCTGCCCCCAGGGCTACACGTGCTGTACCAGCGAGATGGAGGAGAAGCTGGCCAACCGCAGCCGGGCCGAGCTGGAGACCGCCCTCCTGGACAGCGGCCGCGCCCTGCAGACCACACTCGCCACCCAGCTGCAGAGCTTTGATGGTGAGCAGGCCCCCGGGCTTGGGACCACAGGACACTCACGCTGGGGGAGCTGGGCACAAGGGCACCTCTCCTGGCGAGGCGGGAGCAGAAGGCTGCCTGCATGCAGGGCCCAAGCCAAGGGGCCGTGAGCCCGGGAGCTGTCTGCAGGCATCCTAGTCCACCCTGGGGTGTGCGTAGCAATACACGTGCACGTCTGGGGAGATCAGGCCCATCCCCTCTGTCAGCCCCTCAGACGGCACCCTCTTGCTCTAGAGGTGCCTCCTCGTCACCAGCAGACAGGGGACAGGCCTTGCCCTGGCCACAGTGGTGCGGAGCCAGCAAGTGAGCATGCTGGCCAAGATCGGGGCAGGGGACTGAGGCTGGGGCTGCCCTGCTGGGGGAGTAGGGGGCCCCGGGTGTGGCCTTCCTATCTCCAGGGCAGCTGCTGGTCGGGCCTCTCATTCCCTGACTCTTACCAGGTCTCACACCAGGTCTGGGCAGAGAGCGAGTGCCCTGGACAGCATAGAGCTGGCCAGCATGATGCTGCCCACAGTGGTCACCTCAGGGGAATGGTGTGGGTGCTGGGGTGGGGCCCCCAGGAAGTGACCTGAAGTCTAACTGGAGGGGGAAGGTGCCCTGGCAGAGCCTGAGCAGAGAGAAGAGGGAGTGTACGTCTGCAGCCACCAGGCAGCTCTGAGAGGGCTTGAGGCCCATGATCTCAGCCCCTAGACTCATGCACACCATCCCACAGCCTGACCAGGATCTTCTGCCCCAGCCAGCCCAACAGCCCAAGGCCTGGGGTGGGGGGGTAGATGTAGGGGAGCCTGGAAACCCCTGGCTGCCTAGGGCCCCAGGGCCTGTGCAGGGAGGGTGGCCATAGCTCTTGGGGATGAGTCTGAGTGGAGGTCTGTGTGGTCACAGAGTGTGCAATGTCCCTGCCCGAGGGGGGTGGGTGCTGTTTGGGGGCCCCGTTCTGGGTACATAGGGTGCAGGGGCATGTCCCCAAAACCACAGAGGTCTGCTGCACATGCTCATGCCTTGCCCCCCTGGAGGGCTTCAACAGGCCTGTCTAGGTCCCTGGGCACATCCCAAAGGCTACAGGAGATCTTCCCCGGGCTCTCAGGCAGGCCAGCTTCCAGGGAGTATGATAAGAGCTGAGGCTTCTGGAACCCGAGGGAGGGCACCTAAGAGAAAAACGGAGGAGGGCCAGACACACGGGGGATTAGGGGGCAGTGCAGGGAGGAACGGGCAGGAAGGAGGTGGAGCCCACTCCCTGGCTCAGAGGATCCTCCTGCCCACCTTACAGGTGATCCCAGTAGGTCACCGAAACACCCTGCGTCTGTCCCCGGCCCAGAAATGTCAACTGGAGTCCCAGTTGGAGGCCCTGAGACCCAGGGGGGGACCCCCACCCAGGCTTTTGCACCCCAGGCCATGGGGGGGTGGGGGTGAGGTCTTGAGAGTCCAGGGGGCACCCAGGGCCCTTCCAGCCTCTGCAGCCTGGGCTCTGATTCTCCCAGAGCATCAGGGGTCCCGGGCAGAGCACCCCCCAATCCTGCTCTGGCTGCCACAGCATGGGGGATGGGCAGGAGGATACGAGGCCCCAGGAGGCCTCATGCCCCCCCCCCCCGGGCCCAGATCACTTCCAGCACCTGCTGAACGAGTCGGAGCGGGCGCTGCAGGACGCCTTCCCCAGCGCCTTCGGCGAGCTGTACACGCAGAGCGCCAAGGCCTTCCGGGACCTGTACGCGGAGCTGCGCCTCTACTACCGCGGCGCCAACCTGCACCTGGAGGAGACGCTGGCCGAGTTCTGGGCCCGCCTGCTGGAGCGCCTCTTCCGGCAGCTGCACCCGCAGCTGCTGCTCCCGGACGACTACCTGGATTGCCTGGGCAAGCAGGCCGACGCGCTGCGGCCCTTCGGGGAGGCCCCGCGTGAGCTGCGCATGCGCGCCACCCGCGCCTTCGTGGCAGCGCGTGCCTTCGTGCAGGGCCTGGGCGTGGCTGGTGACGTGGTCCGGAAGGTGGCCCAGGTGCGCACTGTGGCCCGGGCTCTCCGGAGCCGCCGCCCCTCCCTTGCCCTGCCTCCCAGCCCAGCCCCCTGGGCCCTAGGGCCTTCCCGCCATCTCCCTGACCCCGGGCTGCTGCCCACCCACCCCCCCCCTCGCCTCCACGTGCAGACAGCATGTCCCAGGACAGCTCTGGTGTGGGCAGCTGTCCAGTCCCATCCTCCGTCGGGCTGGGTCCCAAGCAGGACGGGAAGGCAGAAGGGCGTGGGGCTGGATGCTGAGCCAACTGCAGGGGTCAGGTGGACCGGAGCCAAGGGGTTAACATTGCTCAGAGGCCAGAGCAGGCTGGGGCCTGAGGCCTTCAGGGCCAACAGGGTACCTCCCCCAAGGGGCAGCCCGAGTCAGACCCACACAGCCCCGGGCGTGAGCCACCTCCCTCTCTAGCTGGGGTCCTTAGTAAATCCTCCTCCCAGCCAAGCCCCGGTCCCATCATCTGCATGGAGGGCAGGCACACTCACGCTTCCCCGTGAGGCTCAGTGACAGCGCTGTTCCAGGGAGTCGCGTGCCAGGACGGCAGCAGTGAGGAGCATGAGCGGCCCCTCCACTGGGAGCCTGTTTGACTATCTGAGATGAGACAGGGTCCCCAAGAAAGGGCTAGGGCCAGGCGGAGGGCCCACTACCGTTGAGGCAGATCTGCAGCCTCCTTACTTCTGTCCAGAGCCCTCCACCCTGGGCCTCCTTGGGGGACTGGACACACCCAGCTGCCTTCCCTCCCCAGGTGCCCCTGGGCCCGGAGTGCACGAGGGCCGTCATGAAGCTGGCGTACTGCGCACACTGCCTGGGGGTCCCTGGCGCCCGGCCCTGCCCTGACTACTGCCGCAACGTGCTCAAGGGTTGCCTGGCCAACCAGGCCGACCTAGACGCCGAGTGGAGGAACCTTCTGGGTGAGCAGTCACTGCCACGTGCCAGAGCAGCCCAGGGCCTGCAGGGGCGGGGACAAAGCCAGGCCTGTCCTCTGGAGCACCTGGCCGTGGCCCTGGGAGGGGGAGGGGGAGGGTCCCCGGGTCAAGGGACAGGCCATTCTGAGCAGTATGTGACTCAGACTACCGCCTGGTATGCAGCCCTCTGGGGTCATGGCCCCTCGTCCTCCCCCCCTGCCACGAGCAAGCACATACATGCAACCCGCCTGTGACCTAGGGTGGGCCGCCGTGTGCATGAACTAACATGTATGTGAACCAGCGCACATGCGCTGCTGACTTGCGGCGGGCCGGCCAGCATGTACGTGTGCTGCGCATGGTGGACCGACACACATGCACATCCGCACGTGTGAGCGGACATTGCTGATGTGAGGTGCATCGGCAGGCCCGGATGCCAACCTCTGTAAGTCCTAACGTGCGTTGACACAGCGGGCCAACACACATACATGCTGACGTGTGCTCACGTGTGTGTTATGACGTGATCTGAGCCAACATGTGTCAACTGGCATATGCATGTGGTAGGCCAGTTCAGTTCGTGCCAGCACACGAGAGCTAACATGTTCACGAGCGGACACCTTGTGGGCCGGCATGCATGCGCGTGCGTGAGCTAGCATGTTGACATAAGGTGGCTAGTGTGCATATTTACAAAACGCCCTGTGTGCGTGTGTTTGCCCTTGTGCCAGACTCCATGGTGCTCATCACCGACAAGTTCTGGGGCCCTTCGGGAGCAGAAAGCGTCATCGGCAACGTGCATTTGTGGCTGGCAGAAGCCATCAACGCCCTCCAGGACAACAAGGATGTACTCACAGCCAAGGTGCGGGCAAGCGGGTGCGGCAGGCATGGAGGGACGTCGCAGAGATGGCCTCGTGCCCCTCTAGGACCTCTGTGGTCTTCCCCCAGGTCATCCAGGGCTGTGGGAACCCCAAGGTGAACCCCCAGGGCTCCGGGCCTGAAGAGAAGCGGCACCAGGGCAAGTTGGTGTTACAGGAGAAGTCTCCCACGGGCACACTGGAGAAGCTGGTGAGCGGCCCTCAGCCTGCCGGGGCCCTGGGTGGGCGGGGGAGGGGAGGGCAGGCCGAACAGGGCACCTCATGACCTGACCGCTGCCTCGCAGGTCTCGGAGGCCAAGGTGCAGCTCCGAGATGCCCAGGACTTCTGGATCAGCCTTCCCAGCATGCTGTGCAGCGAGAAGGTGGCCATGAGCAGCGCCAGCGATGACCGCTGCTGGAACGGCATGGCCAAAGGCAGGTGGGTGCTGCCCGGCTGACTTCAGGCCTCACCCGGGTCCCTTGTCTGGCCTGTGTCTCCAAGTGCTATGTGCACAGGGCCGTGCCCGACGCCAGGCCCACAGGAGGACGAGGGAAGCCCGGACAGGGGTCTGGGCCAGCTCCTGCGGCATGCACCCTGCTCGGTGCATCCACACCTCACTTCTGGATGTGATGCACATCCACACCCCAACAGGCCACGGGGGGGGTCTCAGGCTTGCCAGCACCTGGACAGGAGGAGAGGGGATGGGAGGGCATGCCAGGGAAGTGCCCCTTGGTAGGGGGCAGGCAATGACCCAGGGCCTATCCTCGGCCCTTAGGTACCTCCCGGAGGTGATGGGTGATGGCCTGGCCAATCAGATCAACAACCCCGAGGTGGAGGTGGACATCACCAAGCCCGACATGACCGTCCGCCAACAGATCATGCAGCTGAAGGTCATGACCAACCGGCTCCGCGGCGCCTACAGCGGCAATGATGTGGACTTCCAGGACGCCAGTGCGGGCGGGGCCCCAGGGATGGGAGCCAGGGGGTGGTGCGGGGGAAGGGCGCAGGAGAGGGGCCCTCCCGGCCCCTGGGCCCACACGGTGGCTCTGGCTGCTGCTGCTGCCCGGCCATGGACACCAAGCACCCCCCCCAACACACACACACACATCCCTGCGTCCCCAAGCACGGCCGAGCCTGGCCAGGATGTCCATCAAGCCTTGGCAGGCCCCGGCGGGTTGGGAGCTATGCTCGGGCGGAGCTGGCCTTGCCCAGCGCGGGAGGCCCCCATACCGGGGGCGGGGGGAGGGGTGGCTCAGAGTCTGCAGTGCTCGGGGTCCACGGCCAGGTGGGCCTGCTGGAGCCTCCTGTCCTCCCCCCAGGTGATGACAGCAGTGGCTCGGGCAGTGGTGACAGCTGTCCAGACGACCTCTGTGACCGGAGGGTCAGCAAGAAGAACCCCAGCTCACGGACGACCCTGAGCCACGCCCTCCCCGGCCTGTCGGAGCGGGAGGGCCAGAAGACCTCGGCGGCGAGCTGTCCCCAGCCCTGCGCGTCCCTGCTGCTGCTTCTCCTCCCCCTGGTCTTCTCAGCCCCCAGGCCCACGTGGCGGTAACTGCCCCAGGCCCCAGGGGCCAAGGCCAGGAACTGACTTTGCCGAAACGCAAAACAGACGATATTTAATTCTCCTTGGCCTAGAGGCCCCAGGGCAGCGCAGGGAGGGACGGTGAGGGACCCCGGCGCTGTGACTGCACCGGGGTAGGGCAAGGGATGCGGGCCCTCCTGGCCTCACTCTGCCGGCTACCCTGGCTTTTAATTTTGTATGAGGCCCTCAGGTCAGCCAGGAACAACGTCCCTAAAAGCCATGTATTTCAGGGACCTGGGGGATGCCGGTGGCCACCTCCCCGCCTGCCCGCCTGCACCTCTCCCCCCAGCTCCCTGAGCAGTGTCCCGCTGGAGAGCGCGAGTCTGTGCTTTCCTCTCCTGCCTCCTCACACGGAGAACTTTTGGGCTCCAGGTGTCAGAAACCAAGGCCCACCCCTGGGCACCTAAGGATTCCCGGGAGGGCATTGGGGTTTCTGCCATCCAGGGTCTAGCAGGGCCTATTGAGATTATGCATGAACCCTTCAGACTCAGCCAGGCCCCCATGATGCTGTGGCCCCCCCAGAGGCCCTCATCATCAGGGTGAGTTCTAACTGGGAAGGCACCCTTGCTGACCCGTCTGTCTGGACCTTATTCTCTCCAAGGACCAGCTGCAAGGGTCCGGGGTGCACAGATGGGCCGCCATGGGCACAGCCTCACCACCTCTGGGCGCTGCTCTTGGCTGACCTTCGTGTGGGGCTGGGGTGCCGATCCTGGCAGTCCAAGGAGAGTCGGCTGGGCCCCCCACAGATGTGGGCACCCCCTTCGAACGTGGGCCCCGCACCTGCACAGGGCCCTGCGGCTGTGCGGAGGTGCTGCCTGCGCATGCTCCTGCCTCTCATCCCCACCAGGTCCAGGGCCCCCCACTCGGGGTGACGCACGTGGGGCTGGAGGCCACACCTGGCCACAGGATGCGGGTGGCTGGTGAAACCTCAGCTCGGCCAGGAGGCCTGGCCCTGAAAGCCAGAGGGCCACCTGAGTCCCTCCTGACCCCGCCAGCTCCTGGGGGCCTGGGGGGCTTTGACAGTTAAGGGCTTTTCCAAACGTACATACATTCATAGACGCTTTCCATCTCTTCATCCAGAGCTGCTTTTCGGCTCTTCCTCCCAGAGCTTGGAAGGGCTGGGGCTTCCCGGACCTGGGGGCACCCCTGCTCACTCAGGCTGTCCAGGCCCTCCCCCGGGCCCGGGACCCTCCCTCCCTCCCTCCTTCCTGGGCCCCAGCTGCTGTGGGCCCTGGGGAGGGGGCTGGACCCTGCCAGAGAGGGGCTCAGGCAAGGGGACCCTTGAGGGTCCATGGGATGCTGAGCCACTGTGGCCAGGGACAGCAGTCCTAACCAGCACCAGGGCCCGACAAGGCCACTTAGCACTGCTTTGCCTCACCTGTCACGCTGGTCAGGGCCCCCAGCCTGTGTCCCACCAGGCAGTGCAGTCCTATAGGTACCCCCACCCTGTAGTAACCCTGCTTGTGCCAGACTGGGGAGCTGGGCCCAGGGCCTCCTTCTCTGTAAGTAAGTGAGGGCCAGCTGGACTCTCAGGGGCTCTGAGGCAGTGGTTGCCTGCGTGCCAGATGGCAGCATTTGGCCGCATGCGGCCGTCCCCATGGGGGCCCGCACTGTAGGTCTCTGGAGGGGGCGGCCCCGGCCAGGCGGTGTCAGCTGGTGTCTATGCTCTTGAGTCCTTGTACGAATAAAAGGTTGGAGAGCTTGTGCGGCTGCCGCGACCCCATCCTGTACAGCTCGGGCAAGTGCGCGCCCCTGGGCCGTGCACAGCAGGACACGACGTAGCGTGCGCTGGGAGGTGGGGAGGGGCTTGCGCCCAGACTGCGCCCCTGGTCTGCGTCTCCACGCCCCACCTGCTGTCCACTCCTTCCCTGCTCTGGACACACATCCTAACTCATGGCCCAGGAAGCTTCCAGTTCCTGCCAGGTAGCCTCAGAGATGCCCAGAAGGCCAGAGCGTGGGGACCAGCGTGGTTCTGAGGCCAGGCCTGTCTGAACATCCCGATGGTCCAGTCTGTCCCCCGTGCCAAGGAACCCTGCTACCTCACCAGAGCAGAGGCTCCTGCCCCCGCTGGGCTGCCCTGCCGAGCAGAGTCCTGCACAATACCTGAGACAAAGCTGCCAGCCCCTACCCTCACCCCCCAGTGCACTTCGGCCCCGCCAGCACCCTGGCCTCGTGGGCAGCATCTAGTGCAGGGCGCAGTGACCGGCTGCCCGGCACAGCCTGGCAGCCAGCCCGGAAGCAAGAGCTGCTGCAGGGTCACTTTATTTGGGAATTGCGGCCACACTAGTCTGCCTGGTGAACGTTCGATAAAGCCTCTCTGTCCCCGCGGGCCTGAGTGCTGAGGAGCCAGCGGCCGGGACCCCGCTCCCCCAGCACGGGGGCTGGGCTGCGTGCCCTGGGAGGGAAAACGCAGCTTCTCCGGGGATTGCAGCTCCTTGGGGGCCCCTGGCCCCAGCAACGGCCTCCCCTGCAGAGCAGCGACTGTGGGCTCACTGGCCCACCCTTCCTGGAGCCCTGGGATGGCGGGGTGGTCGAGCTCCTCCCAGGAGGAGGAGGGAGGGAAGGCCTCCCTCCCTGGGTGGGCTGGGAGACAGCCTCGGGAGTTCATGGAACAGGTGGGTCGCTAGACACTCATTCCTGGTTGTACGTGGAAAAGGAGCTCTTTGGCTGGCCTGGCAGCTTTGCGGTCTCAGGCTTCTGGCTCGCCTTCTTGCCCAGATGCTTTTGGAAGTTCTGTGTGAACAGAGCTGATTCCATTTTCCCTGTGAGGGGAAGAAGGACACAAGTGGGGTGGGCTTCCAGCACAGGCTGGGGGCAGGTGGGGAGGGGCCTCCCGGCCCACAGCAGACCAGGTGCTGGTCAGGGACAGGCCCCTCCCCGGTTCTTGGTCCCAGTTCATCCCTCTTGAGACACCCAGGAAGCCGCAGACTTGTGGACCGGCCCCCTGGCAAGCAGAGGGCAGCCAGCTCCTCGGCACCTCCTGTGGGCAGGCCGGTGTGGCGCTGTGTGCACACATGCATGGGAATGCACGCCCTCCTCCCCTCCAGGGGACCAGCGGTCCTTTACCTGGAGACAAGCCCTCTGTCCAGAAATCGCACGTATCATCAAAGTGCTAGGTCTAGTTCAGGGTAGAGAACAGATTCCCTAGTGAACGTGGAAGGATTGGAACCAGGGGCCTGTGTCCTGCTGGAAACAACAGAGGTGGCAAGTCCCCTGTCCGAACTGTCAAAGGTGGGGGTGAGTCTAGGGCAGGTGATGGGGCACGGACGGGACCCAGTGAAGGGCAACCTTGGTGAAGGGAAACGCTTCTCTCCCTCCCTTGCGTGGCCTGAAGATGCAAACAGGACACTTCACCGTTTGTAGCAGAAGCCCGTTTCTGGGCCCGACCCGGGAAGGCAGAGAAGCGAGCCAGCCAGGAACCTCTCAGGAATCTCAAACTACACAGCACCAGCAGTAGGAACCCGACAGGCCGCCCCAAGCAAGAGTGAGCAGCAGGAGAAAACACCAGGACATGTCTGCTGTTGAAGCTCACAGCAATGAGCCCGCCCCTGCAGATGGCTCGGCGCGCTGGCAAGGCAAGGAACGTCACAGTCAGTAGCCATCGGTGGGCTCCAGAGCGGGGGGGGGGGGGGGTCATGGCGAAGGGGAGAGCACAGTAGTCCCTTCAAGGCAGAGAGAGAGTTTCGTGGGGGGGGGGGGGCCTGCAGGCCACACAGGGGCCAAGAAAGCTTTGCTGCAGGGGCTCTGCCCAGAAACCACCTCCCCAGAGCAGGGGGTTCCACTGGTCCTCAGCAGGTATCAGGCAGGACTCCCCCGCCCAGGCAGAGGGAGATGCCCTCGGGAGAAGGAGTCACATATCCCCAGTGGTGGGAACTCAAATTAAAAATTACAGCATGCCAAAAAACACCCACCACCCAGAGCCAGAGCCCGAGAATGTCAGGTTGTGGGGCAGTCGGTCTACAGAGTGTTGTGTGGTGTCAGAGAGACGGAAGCTCTCAGGTTAGAACAAGCCCATTGTTTAAAAGAAAACAGGAGACTGGGAAAAGCACCAACTGGAGCTCAGATGAGGACCCTCCCCACACAGGACATGGGGACCCCCACCAGAGGAGGCGGGGCCCCCCCACAAGAGGTGGGGACCACACAAGAGGTGGAGACCCCCCCACAAAAAGCAAGGGCCCCCACAGGATGTGAGGACCTCCTAGGAAGTGAGGGCCCCACAGGAGATGGGGACACCCCATAGGAAGCAGGGACTCCCCCAGTAGGAGGCAGGGACCCCCCCCACAGGAGGTGGGGTCTTCCCCACAGGAGCTGGGGACTCCCCAGAGGAGGCAGGGGCCCCCCATAGGAGGCAGAGGGACCCCCTCATAAGAGGTGGGGACCCCACAGGAGGCAGGGCCCCCCAGAGGAGGTGAGGACCCCACAGGAGGTGGGGACTTCCCCAGCAGTGGGCACCGCACAGGAGGCAGGGATCCCCAGAGGAGGTGAGGACCCCACAGGAGGCAGGGCCCCCCATAGGAAGTGAGCACCCCACAGGAGGCAGGGATCCCCCAGAGGAGGTGGGCACCCCACAGGAGGCGGGGACTTCCCCAGCAGTGGGCACCGCACAGGAGGTGGGGCCCCCCAGAGGAAGTGAGGACCCCACAGGAGGCAAGGATCTTCCAGAGGAGGTGGGCACCCCACAGGAGGCAGGTTGGCAGGAGCTCCATGCCTTCGGCCGGGTGTGGGAGGGGGCCCAGTGAGTTGGGATTTCCGTAGAAAGAGAAGCCCCCCCCGCACCTCCTCCACAGGTTGGCAGCCTGAACGCAGCCCCCAAGCTACAGAAGACCATGCCAGTTTGAGTCCATCTGGAGGAAATTCTGGAAAAGGCCAGTCTGTGGGGAAGGGAGCAGATGAAGAGCTGCCAGGGCAGGCGGGGAGGTGGTGGAGAAGAGCACATAAGCTAACCAGTGCAGGGCCCTTGACTAGCCACACGGCAAGGATTGAACAGGCCCCTACCTCACACCATCAACAAGAATACTGAGGACGGACTAAGAAGCAAACTGTGGAAAGCCACACTTACAAGCTCGGAGAAGACAGTGGGACAATAAGACCCGGGGGCACAGCAAGCACTCTGGAGACACAGAGC